TAAACGATTGCGGTTTTATAATGCATTTTAATGTGTGCCGACATTCCTCCTCCATACACGGTTTGTTTCACCAAGGTTGGCTCCTTCATAACCAATTGGCTCACTTTCTTACGGTTGCAGTACACACGTACATACACATACAGACACACACACACACACATCACCATTTCTATCAGAGTGGTCTCCATTACATCTGTCTGCAAGTCGTTTCACTGTTGGGAATGTGAGGACGTGCTGCATCTGCCCCTTTAGTTCTGCACTGTTAGTGAGAATTGTAATCTTAAGAACTTGGAGGAATAGCGCCTTCCAGTGTTTAGTTGGTATTGACCCTTAGTCTCTTAATCAGGACAAGGCAGTGAGGCAGAGACATATCGTGTTGGCTCTCTTCAAGAGTCAGAGCAGAAGACAGGGGGTCAATTGTTATTCTCTGTTTTGTTCCAGAAACTTCTTTTTTACTTTCTGGCAATGAGTTCACCAGTGTTAGCTTTTCATATTACAAACGTTATGGATTTTTATATATCGCACGTATTTTAATTGGGAGACCAATAGTCCTAAACAAACAAGCAAATCTGCGGTCACAGAGTATCTGACTCCTAATGACCCAATAGGACAGAGTACAATCGTCCCACAGGGCTCCAGACGCCATGTGGAGAAGCCAGTGTGCTCAAACTGTCAACCTTCTGGTTATTGGCCAAGTGCTTAACCACTGTGCCACTAGGGATCCAAGGCCAAAAAAACAACCTGTCAAGTTGATTTTGACTCACAACAACCCTGTTGGAGAGGACTGCACTGCCCTTGTGAATTTCTGTAACTGTAACTCTTTACAGGACTAGATAGCCCTGTCTTTCTGCCAAGGTGAGTAACTGGCGGTTGTAAACTGCTGAGCTTGCAGTCAGCAACCCAGTGACTAAGCCTCCAGGTCACCACAGCTCCTTAACTTTAATTCAAAGTGTCTGGTCAACTTTGAAGGATCCTGCTGGCACTGTGGGATAAGTACTGGACTGCTAACCACAGTTCAGTGGTTCAAACTCCCTAATCCTCCCAAGGGAAGAAGATGAGGCTGTCTGCTCCTTTAAGGAGTTACAGTCTTGGAAACACTTCTTACAGTGACTGTGCTTTACAGTCAACTTGATGGCAGTGGATCGTAGACTCTGGGCATTTTTTATCTTGTTCTTTTTTTCCTTGCCGTTTTTATTCGAGTCTCTACATAATAAAGACAACGATATTGGGAATGTTCGAACAACGCCCAAAGTGAGTATTTGATACATATTTTGGGCTTGAGAAGCTGGTTCTACATAATCAATACTATTATTTTTGCTAACTATAAAGCAAGGTAGAAGAAACCACTCAGTTCTCTCCTTGTTCTGTTCCTCATGGTATGGTTCCATGAGATGGTTCCCAGGCACAGCAACCATACAGGACAGAGGGGGGGTCTCTGAGACCACATATCTTTATAGGAGCAGGCAGCCTCATCTTTCTCCCACATAGCCGACGGGACGTTTGAACCACCCATTTTGCAATAACAGAGCAACATGTACCCACAGCACCACTGGCCCCCTTTCGCTGTTCTACAGACATCATCTAATTCTACTTCTGGCTCCAAACCACAGATCCACTCCCACAGAGTTGATTCCAACTCACAATGACCATATATGCTGCATCCAAAGCGGTAAATCTTTATGGGAGCAGATAGCCTCATCTTTCGCCCGCTAAGTGGGTGGAGAGTTTGAACTACCAACCTCACAGTTAGCAGCACCATGCCTACCTGAGAGCACCACTGGGGCTCATTTCCAGTTTGGGTAAGATTGCCTCTCACTTATGCTGGCATGCATCTGATGGTACATTTCTTAAGGAAAAGGATTTGCTTCCTCTTCTCTCTGGCACCCCATGCCACTGAGTTCATTAACATCTGCCCCACGACACAGGCCATTAGAAAAATGTTCCCAATGAACTTGTCTATCCATCCTGCTGGTGCTCAATATTCTCAAAGGACATATATTTAGCTTCTGGCACATCCATCTGCCTTTATTAATGGGGTGCTCTTAAAAGACAAATGTGTGGCATTTCCATGTGGATGCCTGATCTGACTGTTCATGGTGATTGGAAGCTGACAGAGAGCAGCACCTCCTTCCTTCCGGACAAATCTGGTCTGGTGCCCTGCCCACAATAACCCAGAGTTGTGCTCACCAACAGGAGCATAGGGGAGAGCAAATAATCATTTTAAGCGAAGGTTACAGATGAGGCTTTCTTCAGGATGCTAATTTATGATAATGTGAGGAAAATCAAACAACTTTTATTTGTGGTTGTTAAGGGATTTTGCCCTTTAGCAGTTGATTGTAATATGAACCTCACTGCCATCTGGGTATTTGTGCCAGGTAGGGATTCCGAGCCTCCCTCCAACACCAAGTCTGACGTGAGGGACGCAGCCAGCATGCATTCATTATCAGACTGCCGGGGAAAGACTGGCAGGCAACCTTATTATTCTTAAGGAGAGGCAACATGCAAAACAAATTGGCTCCAACCCACTTTAAAAGTGGGTAATTTCATCGTTAAAGTGCTAAAGACGCGCTAATGGAGTGAAATGGAAATGGAAAGAAATCAGAATATGCTAGCAAAGCCACTGACACGGAAAAAGAAAGCACACGTCCGCTTATCGAGCAGAACTGAGAGGAACACTCCCGCTCCACTGAATCCACTAAGATCGTTCTAGTAGGGCATGACCACCCACATTTCGAACTCAGTGCTAAGATCTCTAACTGATGAAAGCAGCACCTTTGCCTGTCTCTCCAGAGTGGTGTGTGGGGCGGGGTGGGGAGGGGTGGGGTGGGGGTGGAGGTGATATTCACCATCTGTCTCAGAAATCCACAGACTTAATTCCTCACATGTGATCATTTGGATTCAGCAAAACGTCATGCCCTCTTCCTCCTTTGCGTCATTGATGATGATGGACGTGCCATGACAAATGGAATGGGATGTGAACAGAGGCCTAAAGTGCGCTCGTGGGATTTGCCTTGACACTTAATGCTCGGGTGGGCACCGATGAGAAGAGCACCTTCCAGGTAGCCACTGCCCCCTCTAGGCTGGGGCTCATCACAAACACACACTGAATATAGCTGAGCCCAGCTGACAGCCCCAGCAGAACGGAAGAGCCCAAGAATGAATTCTTGTCGTTAAGTCGCTGTATTTTAGGGTGATTTGTAACAGCAAAATTCTCGCAATAACTGACAAATTCAGCAAGTTAGAGCCCTAAGAACTTGTAGAGTACAGGGACACAGCTAGGGTGCAGCAGACACACCCTAATAAGGGTCGGTAAAAAAAAAAAAATAGCCATGTTGGAAGATTGAATCACAATCTTAATTTTTCTCAGAATTGAGATCTATCCATCAGTAAATTTAAATTCCTCAGTCTATAGATTAGAACAATGGTGTTGACTGAAATATTTTGGCAGAATCAGATGTCAATTGAAATCTCTTGCTTCATATTGTACTTTTTTGAAGCAAAATAGTCCCGTATGTTTTTAGCAGCGCCGCAGGTCTGCCATTTCGGATCAGGGAGAGCTGCCAAGCAGTGACCTCTGCCCCTGCTGGCAGCCAGCCTCCCAGATTTCCCAATGAAAGGTCAATGGCTTTGTCCTTTGGGGACTCTAAGGAAGACCACGCACCTGGTCTGAGGACGCTGTTGCTTCCACCTGCGACTCAGGTGGTTGTTGAAAGACCATCTCCATCCCTATCCTGTTAAAGTTCAAACTCATTAACCCCGTTGGCGCAATACTCATCCAGCACCAAGCAATAGAATCCTGTGTTCTTGTGAAATGTCAGTTGGGATAAGATTCTGGTACCATCTTCTTAGCATCTACCATGGTGCTTAGCACATGAGATGCCCTTGGCATTTCCAAAGAATGAAAAGACAAACATATAAATGAATGCTAAATACTTAATCATTGGTCTGACTTAGAGGCTTAGGGTATAGACTACTAGCTAACAAAGGAGTTATAAATAAACAGAAGCTTAAATAGTAGGGAGTCGAGTTAAAATTCTGATCATTATTATTGAATGACTGGTCTGTTTAACATTATGTGCTTTGTTCCAATGCACACTAGTCCCAGTTGGTGTCAATTCAATCTGGCCCATGGAGAGCCCATGGGGGTAGAAATGTGCTGCAGAGGGGTTCAATGGACGATGTTTTGGAAGGATCCCATCATTGGGTCAAAAGCCTCTCATTTCAGGTACCTCAGGGTAGACTTGAACCATCAGCCTTGTGGTCAGAGCAGAGCATGTTAATTGTTGACACCACACAGAGACCTACTAGACCAATTCCCAAATCAAGTGACCAAGTCTCAGCCTTCCTGGAGCTTGTGGCAGCTGACTGTAAGAAAAAGCTCAAACCCAGGCGCACACACACATGCATGAGTACTTATAATCATTAAGAGAAAGACTAACAAGCATGCTAGAGTGGAGACAGATTAGATTAGAGATTCAGGGATGGTCGATCAAGGAAACATTTCAAAAGGTCCCTCTTGTCCTGTGAAAATCAGAAAATAAACACACAGAAGCATCTTGCCCACCGAAGCCTGCATCTGAAATGCAGCAGCAGACCGGGTAACGTGTGTACACGTGCAGGGAGCCCTATGTTGGAAGTTAGACTTGGGAGCCCCTTGTCATCCTTTGGAGCAGCAGTTCTCAACCTGTGGGTCGTGACCCCTATGGGGGTGGAATGACCCTTTCACAGAGGTCACCCAATTCATAACAGTAGCAAAATGACAGTGATGAAGTAGCAGCGAAGATAATGTGATGGTCGGGGGTCACCACCACATGAGGAACTGTCTGAAAGGGTTGCGACATGAGCAAGGTTGAGAACCACTGCCTTGGAGGCTTCCCCAAGCATTCTCCACCCTAAAACCCAACACAATTATACAAATCACCACAGAGAAAGACCGTTGAAACTTTAGCACAAACTACAAGTGCCACGTTTTTCTAAACTGCCTACGGGCACTAACATACCAAGCAAATAATCCATGTATGAAGACAAAAGATCCATAGTGGCAAATTCAGGGATATTTGGCGACGCCACCTGGTTAACTTGATCAGTGCCAGAATCCTTCTTCCCAATAAGCAGGTTAATGGCCAGCACAGCTTCACTGACCTACGATTGAGGCAAACATTAGAATTCATAACTGAAAGCTAGATTCTGAGTCACAGGTCAGGCATTAGGCAACAAACATGGAAAAGGTTGAATTCATTAGAGAATATTCAATATACGTTGGGAGAAAAAAATAAAGACAACCTGAAAAATAATAGGTCAAGCCTCACTGTGTGGTACATAGCAGAGCCAAACAATGCATTATTGTTAACAACTTAATTAAGGCATGCCACTTTAAATAGGCCACCTCACCTAGCTATAGTGGATATTTGCCAAAAGGTCAGACACAGGCACGTGTATATCTGCCAATATTTTCGCTTTTCAAAAAGTCAAAACAATGTGGTCGAGTGTGGCTACTAGAGATTAAAAACACCTTACAAATAGAGTGCCTTTCTAACCCTTCCAAAGAAACACCTTTGGCACAAATCTCAAAACACGTGAACTTTCCTTTCTCTTGGATAGCTATATCGTGTTACCCTGACAGCTGGTCGGCAGAGAATATAAATATGACAGTGAGAAATAAGATTCGACAATGACCATACCAACCTGCGCAGCGGCTCTAATTGAAATCCAGGCCAAAGACGTGGCCAGTTCACAGTTAGTGACAGGAACCTCTTTCAGAGAACTTGGCCTTCTGGAAGAAGACTAAACACATAACAAATGGTTACATAGTGAGAAAGACATCGGAAAGATGTATGGCAAATGTTCTTATCCTCTACCGAAGACATTTTAATGGAATACTATGGAGCCATCAAGAATAACGATACAACAACTGACCATGAAAAAGCAGATTCAAAACATATTATGGAAAGGAAAGTATAGGTTACAAAATAATATGCAAAGTATAGTCCTACTTTTGAAGAAATTGCATATTCATATATTCCCTGTAAATAGAAAACTGCTAACTGGTCATTACTAGATTTCAAGAGCGATTACATTGCTTTATCCTTTTTAAGATTTTCTATACTAAGCTTGAATTCCTTGCATAATTAAATACATAAAAATATCACTTTAAGAAAATGAAAGTTTAAAATGAAAGACCTGTAAGTTTAACATTTTGTATATATAGATGTCACAAATCAGAATATTACTTAATAATTATGAATGGTTATAGGCTGTCATATTTCCAGCTGAGAAAATGTTAATGGGATACTGTTCTCACAAAATTCTACAGCATAACAAAGAGAAACGGTGCATGGAGGCATTTTTATTGTGGATGTATATATGCATATGTGGATGTGTACTACTTTCCTAATAGATGTATGCAAGATGGCAAAACAGTTCGTAAATCTGACAGCAAAAGCATGATCTATAAAGAAACAAATGATAAACTCAACCTCACTAAAATTAAAAACTTTGGTACTCCTTGTGTCACCATTAAAAGGAGCCTTAGTGGCCTATTGGTTACGAGTTGGGCTGCTAACTTCCAGGTCAGCAGTTCAAAACCACCAGCAGCTCCCCGGGAGAAAGATTGGGCTTTCTACTCTGGTAGAGTTACAGTCTCGGAAAACCACAGGGCACTTCTACTCTGTACTATAAGGTCACTATGAATCAGCATTGGCTCAATGGCAGTGAGAGCTCTGGGGGGTTTTTATTAATCATTTTTGAGGGGCTCTTACAAATCTTATGACAATCCATCATTCCATTGTAATAAGCACACTAGTGGATATGCTGCCATCAACACTTCCAAAATATTTTCTTTCTACTTGAGCCCTTGATATCAGCTCCTCTTTTTTTCCCCTCCCTCCCCATGGCAGTGAGTTTTGAGTATATCATTGACCACAGCGAAAAGCAAGAAAGTCATCCACTAAGATAAAATATCTGCAAATCAACTGATACGGTACTTGTATCAACTGTATATGTTATGCATCAATTATATATATACACATATATATCTTAAAACTTAATTATCAAGAAATACAAATAGCCCCATTTAAAAATGGAAAAGAATTTGAAAAGCTTTCTCCAAAGAAGATATTAGAATGTCCAATAAGCATATGAAAAGATCTCAAAATCTTTAGCCACTAGAGAAATGCTGATCAAACCACAATAACTGACTGTGCTAACTTATCTCGCTGTACCCACTAATCAAAAACGCAACCAAATGCACTGCCTCCTAGTCAATTCTGACTCACAGTGGCCCACTACAGACTAATTCTTCATGGGGTACACAGTCCCATCTTTGTCCTGGGCAGTGGTTTGAATCTTTTGTGCTTAGCGGGCCACCCTGGCTCCATCTGCATCCATTAGATGGGCAATAAGAATCACAATAAAAGATAATAACAGGTCACTGGTGAGCAGACGAAGAAACTGGACCCTCAGAAAACTATGGATTGGAATAGAAAATTATGCAGCCCCTTCAGGAAACATCTAGCAGATGCTCAGAAAGTTATTCAATGTGTTTCCACACCCCAGTGATTCCTCTTGGTGTTTGTATCCTCTCAGGTACCTCTCCAGGAGATATGAAAATATTTGTCCATGCAAAAACGTGTACAAGAATACTTAAAGCTGTATTATCCATGTAAGCAGTCAAAAGCAGAAACAATTCAAGTATTAGATTCAACTGTTAGAAAACGTGTGGACTATTATTCAGTAATAAAGGGAATGGACTACTGATTCAGTCTACAACAAACATGACTATGGAAACCTTAATGCCACATGAATGAAGCAAACACAGAAGAATAAATATTGTTGTATGGTTCCATTTCTATGAAATCTCCAGAAAAGACAAATCTAGAGAGATAGAAAGCAGACTAGTGGTTGCCTGGAGGCAGAAGCAAGGACTAAAATATGCCATGGGGATCAGTTGGGGATGCTGGAAATGATCAAAAACTGGCTGGAGGGGAAGGTCCCCCAACTCCGCAAATTTCCTAAAAGCCTGTGAATTACACAGTTAAAATGGGCACATCTCATGGGGTGAAAAGAAAGCATGCCTCAAGAAGTTTGTTTTTTTAACGTGTACTGGATTTTTTCCCCTTGTGTGCATGATTTCTTAGTAGTTTGTGGCCAGATGATTCACAGATCGTACCACTTACTTGCTCCAGCACATTAAGAAGAACTGTGCCATCATCACCACAATTCCAGGAGACTTTCTCCTTTCTCGTACTCATTGCTGTTAGCGCCCCATCTCTCCCTCCTCCAAACGCCCTCGCTGTGCCCCTAGGTAGTCCTTAATCAAGTTACTGTCTCTATAGATGTACCTATCCTGGATTTCATGCACAGAAAGTAAACAAAGCACAAACAAAAACAACAGCAACGGCAAAACAAAACTTAGAAAACCCTCAATCAACAAGAAAGCAGGAAATATCAGAAACTAAAACAACTTCAAAATGGGGCAAAGAGGAGATCAAGTGATGAGATGTTGCCTTTCAGCCTAACTGCATCAGCCATAACCAACTGCACGTAGCTCTCTGTCTGATAGCAAGGCTGTTCAGGTGCCTGGCCGATGGCCAGAGGGGATTCACCGGAGGGTTAACTCATATGGGGACCCTGCACATGGAGTTTCAGCTTCCACTGTCATCCTTAGCCTTTTGCAAACGAGGTGTTCAGAATTTAAGCTCTGATACCATTTCCCCCTTCGGATTTGGATTTTATTATTTAAAATCCTTTGATAACACAGACTGGTGTGCTTCTTTCAAGTGAACGTAGTTGAAGCCTCACTTATATGGCTGCTTGTTTTAAGACAAGTCTTCACGCTCTTAGATGCTATTCCTTCAGATAGCTGGGCTCCACCTGGTTTCTGCACCACACTCTACTACAGCACCTGTATCATAAGTGATCTCGTCATGAGAGCGAGTATTGAATAAGACCACATCAGAAGAACTAATTGTTCTTAGATTAGAACTACAATTAAGTACAAGCCCAAAATTCATTCATATATTTATGGCTTATATATGTCTCTGGTTCATTTTAGAGACATTACTATCATAATGACAGAGAACATTATAAATCATCCCCATGGGACATAAGGTAATTCTATTGATAGTGTCATGAATTGAGCCAAGGGTATAGAATTGAAAGCACTGTTGAGAAAAGGAAATTATACATATATAGGCTAGCTTTTCAGACCTCAATACATGAATTGTTGACTTATACAAATAAAAAGTTTAAGTGAGTAGACACTGTTTACATAAACAAGGAGGGTTGGTGAAAGGGCAAAACTTTTCATAGCATTCATTCACAAAAGAAGAACCATGCCTGCCAGACGAATAGATGTCACAAAAATCAAAGAGATCATTAAAATAGTAAATGTATGGCAGTCCTGGGCCACCATTCACTGGACATCATTAAAGCATGAGATCCAAACCAAAGGCCAATGACTACCAAGTCCATAGCCTTTTTATAGCAGTCATCTCTTCTCTTTCCAGCGGAGTCTGTCAGTTCCTTAAATCTGCTACAGGTGAGTTCAAAGTGAAGCCTAGTCCCCTCGCGGGGCATCTAAACTGAGTCCCTCAAGAGCGGCCTATGGGTGCTGTCTTAGGCTGGGTTGACTAGAGAAACAAATCCACTCATATATGTGTGAGAAAGAGCTTTATATCAAGAAGTCATTGTATCCCAGGAAAACATCCCAGCCGTCTCCAACTCAAGTCCAAAAGTCTGATACTAGTCCGTCAGTCCTTCAGACTCACACAGCCACCATGCGCTGATGCAAAATGCAGGAATATCACAGGCCGGTGGGTGAAAAGTCTTGTGGATGCAGTAGCAGTGCAAGCATCACAGGGTTCGCAGGTCTCAGTATGGATTGCTAACATGAAGGTGAGGGCAGAGGGGGAAGGGTTTCCCAGTCCCTCCCCTTATGACAAGGTCATGACTACAAAGAGGTACCATCTAGCTGTGACCTGATTGACAGGATAGACTCCACCCCTGCACTTCAGGTTGACACAAAATTATTTGCCTACCAGAGGTGCCTCGGAAGAGCAGTCTGAAGTCTCTGTTGTCTAGAGCACACGGCCTGGGTCGCTCAGGGCTGGACCGAAAACTCTCCCTTTGGGGTCTACTGTATGTCTTATTAAGTGGTTTTTCCCAATGGCAAGTTGCATAACCAGGTTTGAAAATGTGTATCAGTTGAACCCTCTCTGTGGATTGTCCTCCTCTAACTTCACTACTTGTAAAATTCCTACTCATCCTTCAAAATGCAACTCAGCTAGGAAGCTTTCTCCAGCATTCCCCCAAAGGAGAATGCATGTGTACTTTTGTATATAGTGTGCCCACATAACTCTGGCGTGTGTAGAAGATTAACATATGAGGGGGCTGCATGACTTGGGGGGGAAATATGTATACATATATTGCCCACGTGATTTGTACAAAGATGCCGTCATTCCTGCTTTGCTTTTCTTGTCTAATTATATCTTGATGACAGTCCTTTCCATACTCAGATATATGAGGGGGTACCAAAAAAACCCCAGTTTTTGAAAGCTAGGTATTTTAATTTTTTTTAGAAAACACACTTATCACCTTCAAAGTACTTCCCATAACACTTAATACTTTGTTAAATCTGCGAGTCCATTCTTGGAAACATTTTTCAGACTCATCTGTTTGGAAGACTGACAGCACCTCTTTCATTTTTTCCTTCACCTCTTCTATGTCGTCAAATCACCGTCTTTTCCTGTCCCTCTTCATTCACAGAAACAAAAAGAAGTCACACA